CACCCCCAGTGCACAAATTTTTGTGCACCGGGCATCTAGTTAAGTAATAATAATGAAAAACCACCCCAATTCACATAACTTCCTTCAGAAACCACAATTGCTCACTGACAGCCAAAGAACTCAGAAACTGAATAGCTTTATTGAGGCATGGAACTAGTTGTATTTTGAGTTTTTCTTCACTCCTCTGTAAAGCACTTTCAACAGAACCACTATTGTCAAAGCCACATATACAGCCACATCTACAAGTAAATAGACAACCATCTAGATTAGAAATAGAGCCTATGTACTCTTTTCTACATTATGGAAAATGTAGAAAAGAAATCTGCTTGAAAAATAATAAAACTGCAGCTGAGAAATGTAAACAGCTAATCTATAATAATAAAAGCATAATATGCTAATTAGACTGGGCAGCTGAAGGACCTTCCGGACGACCTTCCAGACAAAGCGGGGGCTGCGAGGGCTGAGGGCCTTGCCCAAATTTCGTGCATCGGGCCTCTAGTCAGGTATAAAAGCCAGGACTGGACTCAGTTGTCCCCATTCGTCTAGAGCTTTTACTTAAGAATTGCTTCCAAGGCACACACAGCTTTGTAAAATAAAATATAGTTAGAAAAGGTCAATGGAGGGGAGGCAAGGGTGCATACGTAATACTTTCAACAATAAAGACTTTTTAAAAAAGTAAAATAAAACATACAAACCCTGAGAAATCTTCATTACAGAGATCTCCACTTGATAGGAGTAAAGAAATTGTTAAAATAATTCAAATGAATTGTGTCATTAGTATGATAGAAAAGTTAAGGAACAGAATGATTATAGAGCGAGAAACAAATGTTTTGGGAGTGATTAGGGGCTGTGTGCTGTAAATATGTAACCATCAGTGTGTTAGTGTTATGAACCTATTAAGAAAATTTCCCTTTACAACAAACAGCCACATCAATAGTCAGTAAAGCCCAAGGCAAAAAGAAAAAAACAAATTTTGAATTCTCACTACATAGAGATCTGCTTATGAGTCAAGAATACAAAACAAAGAAGCAAAGCACAGAAAGAAGGCAAGCGTATGGCCTCTAAAAGAACTATGAAAACAGAACCTGCCTATTTCTGGAATAGGTCGTGCTTTCCCGGCTGGCGGGAATGCTGGGAGGGAGTGCTGGTGGCACGGGCAGGAAGCAGGAGGACAGCTCCTATGACTGTCTGGGAAGCATCTCTGATCCTTCCTTCCTCAGTCCCTGAGGGAAGGATGGGAATCCGGCTAAATGTGGCTTTGTGGCTAGACACAGTGACCAAGACCGGAGGCTGAGCAAGGCTAGTGCCTGCAGTGCCCCTGGCCTCTCCATACAAGTCCGTGAAAAGGGGAAGTCAGTGGAAATGAAAGCAGCAGGTTTTGTGGAAATACACATATCTGACCCCATGAATACGGAGTTAAAACATCTCACGTTGCTCAACCAAGTGAAGTAAACAAGGACCACGGGGTCCCTTGCACTAGGGCCTGAGATCTGATAAATATTCAGTATGAGGGACCGGCCTCCCCGGCTTACAGACACAGCTTCTCCAGGATAAACTGGGAGGTTCTGGGTATAGGTGGGAATAGCTTCCTTTTGTTTTGCTGTGCTGATCTGAAGGAAAATCCAAAGTGAATTATTCAGAAAAAAAAAAACACAAAAAAACGAGAACCAGGGCACCTCTGAAAAGGAAGGGCTCGTATGAGAAAGAACACTGAGATTATCTAAGGGTCAGAAAGACAAAAACATGTTTCATGTTAATTTCCCAGAAGCTTTTTGGACTTTTTATAGGTAACCCATTACCAGATGTAACTATTGAAGAATAGCAAGGCATTGTCCTTGAATAAATATAGTGACAAAGGTTTAAATTTCACAGAAACTTGCTGTAAAAACTAATCAGAGTTTTCCATGTGTCCCTAACAAGCCTCTTTGGGGGCAGTTCTTCCCACTTTGAGCTGACCTCTCACCTCTGCATTCCTCTACCTGTTTATAGCAAAACAAAGACAGCCGGTTCTCTGAACTGACAAGAGTCATTTGGACCATCTGAGATTCTGGAAAAATAAAACACACACTCAAGGGAACATCCATCTTTGAACTCATTTTTACCACTTTGCCATCTCCAATATTAATGGTAAAGATCCATCTGGCCCTTTGTAATTTAAAGGCTTTTTATTTTATTGCAACAGAGAACCTTGGAACCATTTTTTATTTTGGCAGTAAAAATGCAACATACATACATCACACCTCAAGAACAAAGAATCAGCTAGCATGGGAACGTCCCATCCCACAACACTGTTTCAATGGCAATATTCCTTTACATTTCTTTAAATTCACCAAACACATCCATAGTATTTATTCTGTGCTAGCAGCAGTTGTACGTGCTTTACAAATAATAACATTTTTACGCCTCTTTGTTCTGGTTATATCTAAGAGGTGTACCTATTTCCGATCCATTTTGGAGACGGGGAGAATAAAGCACAGAGAGACTGAATGACTTGCTCAAGGTCACACAGCTCATTAGAGGCAGAAGTAATTGGAACCCAGGCGGTCATGCTCCAGAGTCCATGTTCCCCTTCATGATTCTGCCTCTTGAACTTTCACCAAATCTAAATTAAGAGGAACTGTGGTTTGTGCCCCATCACCTTACAGATTTTATAACATTATCATTTCAATATTTAAACTCATGCCATGTTGCAGCTTTCTCAGATTCTTGAGGAATAGCAAGAAGGAAAAGATAAATACTATCAAATATTACATTTGACCACTTTCAATCTTTTGGAAACAAAATGAAGGCATAGAAAATAATAAAATAGCACCCTGGATTTGCTGGGATAGCTACTACGCAAAAAGCGACTCTTAGCAGGTTTAAATTTTGTAATGCCGCTGAAATTTTGAAAGGCCTTTGCGCTCATTCAACTTCAGAATCACCAAGCTGGCGCAGGGTAGGGGAAACTTAACTACATGGCCAAGAGACATAGCAGGGCTCCTCCGGGTTCTTTCTGGGGAATACCTCTAAGAGACAGAAGAGTTTTCTCCTCGGAATTCTTTTATCACATCTGGCAGAGTGCTCTGCCCTCCTCCGCCTCTGCCCACTGCTTGGCACTCTGCCTTCGGGGGAGGTCACTCCACTGTGCTCAGGGCCTCCCGCCAGCGCAGCCTGGTCCTAGGTGGGGCTGGGGGGCTGTGCACTCCCCAAACCACTTCAGCATTTCCTTTGGGAGCGTCCTGCAAATTAAGGCAGCAAAGGAGGAGGAAACTATCTCCATTCCTGCAAAGAAACTACTCATTTTTCATCTGGGAAAGGTGCCTGTGTTGGGCCAAGAAAAAGGTACACTCTTCCCTCTTTGATTTTCAAAGCCTGATGGCTCTTCAAATTCCACACCTGTGGCCTCCAGCTGTGCAAATACTTCTAAAGGAGGTGAAACTGGCAGAAGACTCTATTCCACCAGCTACCATTCTTCTTTAAGACCATCTTCCCTCAAAAAACAATGTTGAGTAAAATAAGCGGGCGGGGCGGGGGGGGGGGGGGGTGGCAAGGGGAGGATGCACAACAGCTTTGCCTAGTTCTTTTGTTTACTGGAAACTGGAGTTACCAGCATCTCCCTTTATAATAGAATGTAATGGCCCAGCTGTGCAAAAAGTCTGGCCCAGTGGCTTGCAGATAGCAGGTAGACAAACATTAGTCCCGTTTACCTTTCCACCCCTAAACAGAGATGTCAGCCTGTGCATGCAATTAGAGAGTCATCCTGTGACTGTCCCTCTCCCTCTTCACAGAGTTCAGGATAGACATCACATGCAATTCTCAAAGACTGAAACCGCCAAGGGCATACCTAACTTTAATTTACTTAGAGTAAATTTAATTTGCTTAAAGTGAACTTAAATTTACTCTTCACATTACCAACACGTTTCTAAGGCAAGCTCCTCCCCTTCCAGCTCCAGCTTTCATAACTACCCTTGTCTATTCCTTTAAGGCCCTTTCTTATTAGCAGTAAAACACTGGAATATATAGAACCCACTTTTGTCCCCATCATCTCAACAGACCTGCCCACCTAGTACTCTAAAGATGCTCCTGAAATTTACTTATTTGTGGGTGTTTTGTGGGTGGGGGGAGGGTGTTTGTTTGTTTTTTGTTTGTTTGTGTGGGGTTTTTTTTGCAGGGGAGTGAGATATAATTTTGAAATCCAGATAAAACACTAGGAACAAATTTTTCCAACTTTTGTGATATAGCTTTGATTTTTACCATAAAAATATCCATTTGTGCCCTAGCCGGTTTGACTCAGTGGACAGAGTGTCAGCCTGTGGACTGAAGGGTCCTGAGTTTGATTCAATCGAGAGCACCTGCCTGGGTTGTGGGCTCCATCCCCCGTAAGGGGTGTGCAGGAGGCAACTGATCAATGATATTCCTATCTATCTCTCCTTTTCCCTTCCTCTCTGAAATCAATAAAATATATTTAAAAATACTCGTTTGTGATCAAGGAAAAGGTAAAAATTAATGTTTTGACTTGACACTTATTACATGATTACTTAAAGAACTTAAAAATGATGCCTTTTTCAGAGGTATTATTTGATTATACTGGGTGGTCCATTTAGAACACAGTCAACAGCCAATACAACCTCACTTCAAAAAAAGAGGCCTCTTTACACAACAGCTAAGGTAAGGATTTTATACCTTAAGTTTATTTAGTGTAAATACAGTCTAGACTCATTATCTTACCCCCATCTCAGAGCCTGCAGCAAAGAAGAGAGTGAGCCTGGTCAGAAAACTGAAGCAGGAGAGACGGGGGACAGATGCTGAAATGAGCACCCTGTGAGCCACACAACTGGCTCCTTACAGATGGCTCAGGCTGGAAAGAGGCAGAGCCTGGGACAGGAACTGAAACTCCCATGTCAGAACCATACCACCAAGCCCTGCTTGCCGTGAGCCTCTGGTGTGCAGAGTGAAGCCTGGAATGAGGGTGGAGCCCCCCTCGTAGGGAGCTGAAGTCCCCAGGTGATGATACTCACGCTGACAGTGTCCCCAGGACTGGCGGGCCCAGCCCCAGCAGCAGTCAATCCTCCCACCATAACGACACAGGCCAATGGACGACACTATTTGCCTGGGCCACCTATCAAACAAAAAGATTCAAAATAAATAAAGACACTTTTGAAATTAAAAATAATTTCTCCTTTGTCATTATTTTAGAAAATAATTAAATATCACACACATACACCCACACAAACTCCTTCATTCCTGCAGAATTTAAGGATTAAAACACCTTCAGGGAAATAGTTCTGCAATGAAGTAATTTCAAATTTCAGACAGTTAAACACACACACAACACACAAGAGTAGGGGGGAAAGGGAGGGGAAGATCCTTTCTTAAATGGAAATAGCACAAGCTAAAAACCAAGATTTCTCAAGGCTGCCACTCTCAGGGTGGTTTCTGAAGCTTGAAATAAAACAGATTCCTCACAGACCCACACCTATGCGTGTGTGTGTGTGTGGGGGGGGCACGGTTTTGACTGATTCACCATAAACTGAAAAGTATTAAGACATGTCAAAATGGAAAGAAAACAATCTCTGCCTTATATAAAAGGAAGATGTGGTCAGGGGCAGAGGAAGGGAAGGAAGCTTCCACAAAATCTAACACAACTCTACGAGATAGGACTCTTTGGCAGAAAAAGTTCCCAGGGGAAAAAAATGTACTAGAAAAAGGAGCCTAAATAAAACCAAGGGAGCTGAGAGGGCAACTAACATCTCAACTGTTCCTGTGGTGTGAAACTTTCCAGCATCAACAACTCATGTCATCTTCCTCTCCAGCCTAAGTAAGGACTAAAGAAAGTATTCAATTTCAGGATACTGATTTATCCCCCAGGTTCCACTTTGGCACCTTCTTTGGTGAAATGTTTCCTTGTTTGGACACTTAAATGCCCCCCCCCCCCCGGCCCCCAAGAGGATCAATATTTTCACTGGCTGTTTCAGACATCTTTATAAACTACGTTATCATCTTAAACTTACTCATGGGATGCCCTTCTTGTTACGAATGTGTCTGCAAGAAACGCACAACATACCCGAACGCGGGCAAAGAACTGATTTTAAAACAGTAAAATACTCTGGCCCCTGCCCGCGTTTTTTTATTAGCCTTTTCTTTTTCCTTTATTCCTCCCTCCTTCCCCCGAAACTCCCAAGCCCATAATACAAAATAACCCCGAACTTTCTCTTTCCACCGACCAGGTGGTAAACAAGCGGTTGCGCTCCACTGGTTCCCTTCCGTTCCCCTCCAGGTACAAGAAAGCCAATCAATTGTGGAATTGATTGGTTCCAAGATGGCAAGTAAAACAGGTGCGGCAGTCTTCAGGGCAGCCCAGGGAGCTGATTGGCGGGTGGGGGTCGCCCAGCGAGAGCCGCTGGATAGCAATGCGGCCCGGGTGAAGCTCTCTCTCTCTCTCTCTCTCTCTCTCTCTCTCTCTCTCTCTCTCTCTCTCTCTCTCTCTCTCTCCGCGAGCAGCAGCGATCTGCGCTCGGGCGAGTCCGGTGTGTAACTGCACGGAGGTGGGGTTACCGTGCACGCCCTCCCGACACACACACACACACACACACACACACACACACACGCACACACGCACACTCGCGGAGCGCACCCCGCGGCGGCAGGGGAGAGGGTGCCGCACTCCCGGCGGGAGGACGGGCTGAGTGACAGCGGAGACGGAGTCTGGTTGTTGGGACCTGTCAGAGCACGTCGGAGTCAGGCTCGCCCCAGGTTTCCGCGCTGTGTGTGCGCGCGGAGCGCCCCCCACTCCCCTCACCACCTCAGTCCTTATTTCGAGTCCTAGAAAACCAAGTGGGAAGGCAAACAGGTCCCCCCTGGAAACCCAGTGGCTCCCTTGCCGCCATCCTTGATGTGAGCGGCCCTGACAGCTCCAAGCCGGGATTTGGCCCCGGCCACTGGGAAGTTCCCCCACTGCAGAGCCTTCTAAAGCAAGAGCCAGAGACCCCCGACCAAGGCATGTCCCGCGCGTCCCCTCCTCCCAGCGGCCGACCCGCGCGCCCTCAGAAGCGAGCTGTCGGGCTCGAGCCTCCCTTCACCCCCAGCCCGGGTCCCCGAGCCTGTGGCCGCGGCTGGAGCCCTCCGGGTGGAGAGAGCGGCTCGACGGTTCTCTTCCTGCCGAGGGGATGCGGTGGCCCAGCTGCTGGACAGACAGACGCCTCTGTGACCGCGCCCCCGCGCCGGGAGAGGGGACCGCGGGGCCGGAGGGGATTCGCGTGGGAAAGGAGGCGGCGGGGAGGTCGCCCCGGGGCCAACTCACCTCCCGTCGAACTCGGCGGCCGCCGGCAGGTAGAGAGCGGAGCCGAGCACCAGCGCCAGGAAGAGATCCATGTCGGCTGCGGCGGCGCGCGGGAACCCGGCTGGGGTGGTGGGTGCGGAGGGAAGGCGCGCTCGCCTCCTCGCCGCCCCAGGCGCTGCGGCCGCCGCGGAGCTGCTGCCACCCTCGGAGGAGAGCGGCGCGGCGCGCTGCCCGAGTAGGTCTGCCGCGCGGCGCCCGGAGCCCCTCCGGCTCCCTCCCCGCGAGGGAGGCGCTGCAGGGGGAGCCGCGCCGCCTGCGGGGAGGGGCGGGGGGCGCGCGTGCGCTCCACTCGCCGCCCTTTCGGCCCGCGGCGCGGGGTGAGGGCTCCGGGCCCCGCCGCGGGAAGCTGGCGGGCGGGGGCGCCCGGGAAGGCAGCGTCTCTTGGGGGCCAGCCAAGCGAGGGGAGCGCCAGGCTGGGAGGCACGCCGCGCGCCCGGCCTGGACCGGGAAAGCAGGGCGCTCCGGCGGAAAGGGGCCCGGGCGGCGCTGCGCCCTCGGCGTGTCCCGCCCCAGCAGGTGGCGGCCGCGGCGGAGAGCAGTAGCTTTCCCCCGACGGCTGAGAGGTGAGGGAGCAGAGAGGTTTATGGGGCTGGAGCGGAGCACCTCCGTCGGCATTTGGTGAAACCACAGCACGACTTGGACAGATTAGCAAAGGCAAACTCCTGGGGTCTGCTCCTCCCACATAGTTGGCAAAGGCATATTTTTTATTTTGTAACCAACCGAAGGAAAGGTTTGGCTCGCCAGTCGGGTTTTGAAGAAGAAACGTGTAGACTCTCTACCTCTGCCAGCTCAACTGAGCACATTAGAAGGATAGCGACGGCTGCCCCTCCGGGGCCACGTGCCCACCAGAGAGGAAGGCGGTTACGACTTGGCAGTCTTGTGGTGCCTGGTCCTGCAGTGATCATTGAGAAACCATTTTAATCAATCACTGTTCCGCTGTGGCAGAGTAAAATGCATTGTGCTAAAGGACTGCTCAAATGCAAACACGCAATGATTGTCCTAAACGGCACGTTTAACACGAGTCCAGTCCCTACCCCGAAATACTCCCAGGGCAGTGATCTGCCAGCTCCCATACCTCTCAGACCCAATCTCTTTTCTCCTAATCCTTGCCTTTCTAGAACATTCCAGGCATGCCCCTGCCTTAGGGCCCTTGACCAACTGTTAGTTCTCTCTGGACACAGATGTCTGCATGGCTCACATTCTCACTTCATTCCTGTCTTTGCTCAAATGTCACCTCTTTGAGGAGACCAACCTTGACCACCCTATTTAAAGTTGCAGCCTGCCCCCTCCTCATGCCCCCTGCCTGTTCTACTTTGCTTCCCCCCACCCCCCATACCACTAATCCCATAATTTCCTACATAATTTATTTCTTCCTTTTGTAGGTTTCCTTTCTGCTAGAATGCCAACTCTGCAAGGACAAGTTTCTTTGTTGGGTGCATAGAACAGTGCCTGGCGAATAGTAAGTGTTCATAAACATTTGTTGAATGGGTTTGTTACATTACAAACTTTTCTCCCCATCTTTATTTTCTCTTTGAGGTTTCTCAACTTCAAATTTTTAATGGAAAGTTCTGTGGCAGAGTGACCTCACTATCCTGACCTCTTAGTGTGTATAAAAACAGGGAATTTTCTTTGAGAAAAGGAAAAATAATGGTTTCAACTTAAACGACTCTTTGATTTCCAAGTTGTTTTCTGTTAGCAAAACAAGTTTCTATTTTAATCTCAGGAAATATCCATGCCAATTCAGGCTTGGGACATTATTTTAGGCAAACAGCTTGGTGTCATCCATTTCAGATCTTTCTAATGCAGTCCAAAAATGTAGGAGTCAAAATATTTTTTTTTTTGCAGAAAATCAAATTTTTGTAAGTGTACTGTGGGCTCGGTTCCAGGATCCAGTGGCTACTCCTTAGCCATTGTCTTTGTTTACTGGTTCCTGGATTGGATTTGCAAATAAGCCTCAGCAAAGGAATGGGTGATTAGGGAGAAGAGGCTAACCTACTGGCTAAAAACTGGAGATAGAAGAAGAAGAAAAACAGTGGTGGGTGAAAACAGGACTACTCTGGAACAAAAGGGCAGTGCCCCATCTGCATGCCTCTTTTATTTGTTCTTATCTTTTCTTGGGCCTAGAAAACACTCCATCTTCCTTCTTCATTTGGACACTCTCCACTTATCCTTTGGGTCCAAGCTTAGCTGACACTGACCAGGGAAGGCCTTTGATTCTTTGCTTCGTTGAGCTTCCTGTGGTATGAGCTTCTACAACCCTATGCATTTTCTGGAGTAACTCTTAATGCACAGTTGTAATTGCTTCTCTACTAGTCTAGTTTCTCCTGAGACATTAATATAACCAATAGGAGGGCAAGGGTAGCTGTCGCTCTATCCCTTGTGCTTGACACAAGGCTTAAAAATCAGCAACTATTAAATATAGGTTATTCCAAAAAATGTATGCACACTCTGAATAATTATTATTTCCAGTGGGTTAAATCTAAAAAGAAAGAAACATTGAGCTATCAGAACAAGGTCTGTATACATTTTTGAGGGGTACCGCGTAGGTTGAATTAGGTTGGATTGAATTCTGCCTGGTGAACTGTAGCTTTTCCCTTGAGTGAGCTGTAGCTAATTATATCCATTTTTGTTGAATCATGGAATGAGGAGACCCTAAAGGAATTCCATGTTCTACCTGGTTAATATGCTGCTCTTATGGCCACCAGTGATCATTCCAAAAAAGAGGTGGAGTTCCCAAGCAGTGACATTTCACTATCTGTCTTAAAAACAAACAAGAACCAAATCAAAACAACTTGCTTTTTGCCCTGCTGGCGTAGCTCAGTGGTTGAGCATTGACCTATGAACCAGGAAGTCACGGTTCATTCCCATTTGGGGCACATGCCCAGGTTGTGGGCTCCATCCCCAGTGGTGGTTGTGCAGGAGGCAATGATCAATGATTCTCTTTCACCATTGATCTCTCTCTCTCTCTCTCTCTCTCTCTCTCTCTCTCTCTCTCTCTCTCTCTCCTTCCCTCTCTTCCTCCCTGAAATCAATTAAAAAATGTATTAATTTTTAGCAATATTCGTACTTTTCCAGTAGGACAACCTTTTGGTTAGGTTTCATGCCAGGTAATGCCACCTTGCAAGTAGTTATCTTGATTTCTCTCACACAAATAATTATCTATCACTGGTCACAATATGATACAGGTAAGCAACAACATAAAACCAAACACAACTTCAAACACTTGGGGATTAGAAACTCTTAATTATTTAGTCTTTTTCCCCCCTCACAAATATTTGTTGAGAGCCTGCAATGCATTGGCCATTTCTAGGTGCTGGGATTTAGCTGGGAGCAAGATAAGGCTGTGCCCTGAAAGAGTTGACATGGCAGTGGGGGGACAGAACGGTAGGTATGATGACGACGGGGTCAAGGTGTAAAGAGAAGGTTAAGGAAGGATAAGGTGATAAAAAATGATGGGGTATGATTTTAGACGGGGTGATTTGATCACCCCTGGGGAAGTGACACTTGAGCAGAGACTGAATGTAGTGAGGGTGGGGGAGGTATCAGGCCAGGAGAGTGAGAGATGTGTTTTCTCTATCAAGTTTTCTTAGCTACTGTCTTGCTAACCATTAAGCAAGTCCCCCCGCCCCCGCCCCGCCTCCCCTGTCCCCAATGCAGTAGCCCAGGGATAGGACTACTGCTTTAAAAACTCTTATCAGCTACTAGAGGGATGAGGAACACACAGCTGCTGTTCACAGTGATTCTGACTCCCAGCTGAGCGAGAATTATGGAGTTTCTCTGCTCTGGCGGTGGAGGAAGCCCGTGGCCAGATAGTCAGGTCACCCCTGCTTCTACGCCTTGACCATTAATCTTGCAGAGCCACATCAGAAGTGACTGTTGGAACATATGCCTTCCTTGGGGGCTGCATATCATCGCCAGTTCTTTTTCTGCTGGTATAAATGTAAAGTCCTGAATGTTGCTTTAAGGAGCTAATAGAGAAAGGCATTTTCAGGCCAGACTCAAGGTTTCTGCGGCTACAAGATATCCTTAAAACCCTGATAGGCTTTTGATCTAATTGCTTCCAGTCAGTTTTTTGTGCAGAGAACCAAATGCAAAGTCTTCTGGTGCTAGTTTTGAAGCCTGCTTTATTTCTTTGCTACCATGTGTCCATACCTTACTCTTTCATCTTAATGGAGGCCACCTTGAGACTAGCTGAGATAACAGGGTTGTTTGGGAGGGCAACTCCCTTTCTCTGATCCTTGCCACAAGACTTGGATCCCTTTATCTAAATTAATGTTCAATCCCCAGGAGAGAGGGGGCAGTTTCTGGACATTCTCATTTTCTTTCGTTTCTGCTTGCAAAGCAGCCAGTTCTTGCCTGAGCTCATCTATTTCTTAAGATAGCTTCCTAAAAGCAACAAGAAGCAGCCAACATTTTCATTTTTTGCAACAATATTCTCTTTATCTAGATATATGTTGTGCCTTCCACGTGATCATAGGTGATGATTTTACAAAATAGCTTGAGAGTTACTAGCTTCCCAGCCTATACACAGCAGCTATAGTTATCCCACAATTGGAGCACACCATCCCGCCAAAGAATAGATCATTTCAAAACTATTTAAATTCTTCTAAAATATGAAAAATAGGAGTGCTTACCAATGATTCCTTAGAAGCCATTGCAATCTAAACCTAGTGGGAAAAGCCTTCTCATATGTGCAACACACACACACACACACACACACACACACACACACACACACACGCACACCTCATCCCCCATAGGAACATCAGTGCAGAAGTTCGAAATAAATGATCAGCAAGTGCAGAGTAGGGACATAGTAGAAGAGTCCTACAATCAAGTTGACAGAAAACTTCTGTGTGGGTAAAGGGTTAACAACACCCCTTCCCCTTCTACGTGAGAACGTGACCTATGTTAACTTTCTAGCTGTCTCTGTTCCCCTGGCAACCTGATAAGGTGGTTTGTGAACTGTGTTGCTAGTAAAAATGGACCCCTGCTTGGTAAACTGCAGGTAGACAGGGAGAAGCAAATACACCTGATGGCAGACCATAGCATTGGACCAGCCTGGGCTCGGTGGCTCTTACCTGCAGAGACCTTGGCCACGGTGCCTATGGTGGTGCCACAGGGTGCTGGTCCAGAACAGGTGAGGTTGTTAAACTGGAGCAGTCTCACACCTGTGTAGAGTGTCTCATCTTGCACCTGAGCTGTTCTG